ATTATTATTATTACGTCTTGAATATAAATTAGAATTAATGTTTATTACGTGGCAGAAGACAAGAAGTAAAATTTAACATTTATTTTCAAAGGTTTTGTTTTTTTTTGTTGTTGCAGAAACGTTTATCATTATTATCTCTTTCTCTCTCTCTCTCTCTTCCCTCTCTGGAGTCAGTTACAAATCGTTTCATGTTTTTTTTTTCTTTTTCTTTTTCTCCATAATTTTTTTTTTTTTTTTTGGAATCGATCAATTGTGAAAAAAATATTAATTTTCTACGAAAAAAAAGGAAAATTTTTACACCGTTGAAAGTTTAAAATTTCTGGAACGAAATTACCAGGTTTTGTTTTTCCAAAAAAAAAAAAAAAAAAAAAAAACGTCTGCTGTCTTCAACAGAAATTTGATTTTTTTTTTAAATTTTGTTTTTATTGCTGTTGCTTCACCGTCCTCGCCAAAAAATTTCTGTTTCTGACACGATCATTTAAAAATTATTTTTTTTTTTTTACTTTTCAACTTTTTTAAAAAAAGGAAAATTTTTTTTCAGTTCGTTTTCCAGTTTTTTAGAAAAAAAAAAAAAAATTTATTTATTTTATACGTAAGAATATAAACGTGATTGTAATTTTGTTTTACGTTTTTTTTGACGTGGATTTAGACAATTTTCGGGTCTTCATCACGTAGGTTCGAATGCAAAATTTTACATTCATAATGAAGTTTTTTTTTCCAAACAAAAAAAATTCTGGAATTTTTCTAGAAAAAAATTTTTTTTTGTCGTTTTTATTACGCGCGTTTGTTTTCCCTCAAATCAATATGGATTCGAATTTTAAAAATAATAAATTTTTTTTATTGGGTTGGCAACAATGTGATTGGGAATTTGACCAACAGATAGTGCTATGCATTTTTTTAGGAGCTAAAGGGAACATTTCCGCCGCATTTTTTTTTTCATTTTTGAAAGGATTTGAATGCTTCACAAGTCCATGAAACGTCGTGGGCTGTGTATGGCGATGAAGTCTAAAAGGAACGGCAGGTTTGCGAGGTTCTGGAGATTTTTTTCCGAAAGATGAGGAGAGCTCTGATCGTCCAGTGGAGGTCGATGATGACCAAATAAACGCTTTCATTGATTATAATCGCAATAGTTTGACAAGGAACATTCCAGAGGAGGTAGAAGTGTCACATACGGCGTCTTGGGCACCAAAGAAGCTTGACGTATAACCTTGGGGAGTTACGGGACGACTTGGCCTTAGCCATGCAATGACCCAATTTTGAAGTGAATGGTCACCAAAGATAAAACATGACAACGTTTTGAGGAAAAGGCCCTGGTCTACGCAAGGCGAACAGGCACCAACAACTTCTAAGGCTCAAAAAAAAGGTACCGTTATCAGTTTGGTAGGATTACAAAGTCATAGTCTCTTCTCTTAGAAATCTGCTGCCACGAAATCATAAATTCAGAGGTTTATATTCGACAATCGACTAATTTAAATGATGCCATCCAAGAAGAACAACCGGAGTTAGCCGATAGAAAAGGAAAAAGAATTGTCTTACACCACGATAATACCAGGCCCCCCACATCTTTAGCCACTGGACTACTGGAGCTAAACTGGACAACCTTTTAATAGTCCCGACCTATCTTCAAGTGATTATCATTTGTTCTCATCACTACAAAATTTTCCAAGACGACAATGAGGTCAAAACTGAATCGGAAAAGCAGTTTTTTGTTGCTTTTAATAAAGAAAAAGAGATAATAATGATACTACACGAAAAAGGTCAAAAGGTCATTGATAACAGAAAAAAAATAATTTTACTAAAATTAATGAATCGTTTTTAGTTTTTTTTACAAAAAAATTAAGTTGCCGACCCCTAAAATAATTTTATGTTTTTTCGGTTTTGTTTTTGTTTTTTTCTCCAGTTTCGCACAATCTCATAAGTTTTCTCCAGTTTTTCTTATATAATTTCCAATATATTTTTCATTGGAGACAATAAAAACAACCGATAAAATTGTCGTAAAAAAAAGAAAAAAAAAATTATCATTAAATAAAAATTGATTAAAATGAAAAATGGAAAAAAATTTGATTGAGAAGAAACCTTTTTTTTGTTTTGATTTGAAAAAAAAAAAAAAAAAAACAAAAAAACATAAACACAATAGCAGAAAGTTTTCGGGGTCAATGAACTAAACGACGAAAAAAAAAAGAAATTTTTAAGTGTGGAGGGTGTGGTTATAAGTATAAAACGTGTTTGTGCGTGCGAAGCTAGTGGAAAATTTGAATTTCCCGCCAATTTTCGAATGTGAGGAAAGGAAAAACTTTTTGATTGTATGACGTTGATATCACTCAACGGATATGATAAACGGAAATGCTACGTCGTAAATCACGACAGATTTTTTTTTGAAACTCTTACGAAAAATGACTTTTCGTGGGAAAATTCTAGAATTTTCCTTTTTCCAGCGTCTCGAAAATATAATTTCGTAAAAAAAAAAAGTTTTAAAAAACCAATTTGTCAATCCGGATACGGATGCGACAGAATTATTTTTTCGCGCGCGAACTTTTTATTTAAAAAACTTTCTACTGCCACGTTATCGTTATATCTCAACTCGTGATATGTTTTAACGTTGTTCACTTCATCCGTTATTATTTCCACGTCGATTCCATGATAAATATTTTATTTTTTTTTCTTTTTTTTGCGTTATTTCCGTTTCCGCTTTCTGAATTTTCCTCATAAATATTTTTCTTTTTTCACACGGTTGATATTCTTGACGACGCATTCGTCATTTTTCCTTCTTTCTTTTCTATCTGAGAAAATTTTCTTTTTGTTTTTATTTTCTGCCGGGGAGTTTTGAAGAAAAAAAACAAAACAACAGCAACAGCAAAATCTCGTCGCCATCTTTTTTTTTTTTGTTTTTGTTCTTTTGTTTTTGTTTTTTTTTTTTTTTTGTCTTTTTTTATTTTCTTGTTTTTTTTTTGTTTTATTATTATTTATCCCTTTTCTTCATAATTCATTTTTTTTTGTTGTCGTTTTGATGACGTCAAAAACCTCTTTTGTCCCCCCTCCTCCCCTCTAATTTTTTTTGTTGATATTTTCACGCGCGCTTTCGATTGTTTTTTATTTGTTGTCTTCTTCTTTTTCTATCAATTTTCCGGTAATGGTTATTTTAAATAAATCGTTTGTTTGTTTGTTTGTTTGTTTGTGTAATTTTTCGTCGAATCGATTTTATACGTTTTCATTTAACTGTAACTGTATTCGTGGAATAATAATAATAATAATGATAATGATGATGATTGTTTTGAAATTGTTTTCTTAAATTTTAAATAGGGAAAATTAAATAAATCACGTTGTTGCTTTATTATTATTATTATTATTATTATTATGTTTTTTTTGTTTGAAGATGAAGCGGTACGGAGAAGAAAGATACATAGCGGATAGGGGGTAGGAGAAATGTGGGGGGAAAGAGGAGACAAGGGGTTTATTTCTCACAATGTGAAAATATTATTTTATTAATTTCACATTTCGAAAAAAGCGTTTTTTTCCAGGTGTTTTTCTCTCTCGTTTTCTATTTTTTTTTTCCGGGTAATTTTAATTAAAAATAAAATTAAACATTTTCCTTTCGTCGGATTTGATTCGTAATTTTTTCCTTTTTTTCCCTCCACTCCCCCTCCCCCCATCGAAACTTTAAAGGATTCGGGTCAAAGTTTATTTAAAGTGTTTTATTAATTTTGTATTCATTTCTAATTTTTTTTTTTAATCATTAAATTGATTTTATAATTTAAACGACAAATCATTAATTAATCGGATTCGTAACGAATGAGTGGAATTATTATTATTATTATTATTATTATTATCAGGGGGTGTAATGTAATTTAGATCAAGTTCGATGATAAGTGAAAATGCTTCAGAGGATTTCCGTCATTTGTAGAAGCTTAGATCTGACCTTTTCTGCCAGCTTCCATCTTCCCCTTGATATATATGCCCTATATGTGCCAAAAGGGTTGGTTGTTTGTAGACAAACGTTGACTAGGCGTCCGCTAGGGGTTAAGCTTTGACTTGGAAGCCTTGGGAAGGCCGAGGTAGCTAGGTTGAGTCAAAGAAAAGAGAAAAAATCGGCCCAAGAGTCATCGAGTTGAGAGTCGTGGGTTCAAATCTTGGCACTGGAGATGCCCCGACCTTTGTTCGAGGGGTTGAAACCGGGTACTTGATCCAAAAAGGGAAAAAATGCTAAGCTGCGACGTGAAAGGAGGGTAGATGAACGATCAGCGGGATTCGGGACCCCGAATATCACTCCAGGAACTAGCAGACTCTACGGAAGAGGAGGCAAGAACGATGATAACAGATCGGGATTGTCTCTCGAAGGGTAAAAAGGGAAAGTACCGGGATTCCCACCCTCGCGAGTGTGGACGTGATAGTTCTGGCTAAAAAAGGGATTGAGCCTGAATTCGAGGATGTACTCCCGCGAACGCCCTTTCCTCCGGGAAACACGCCTAGGAATTTTAGTTGGGTAGTGGCTTCGGCTGAGTCCCCCCACACACTCCCTACTACCACCGGGTGAAGAAATTAGTGCGAAATGCATTATTACATGCGACTTCAAATTGAAAGAACATTTCCAAAATTGTTATCAAAGTTTTGGACAATTTTCCCTGGATAATTCTATTTTTATCCTTGTCGGTCCTTGATTAATACATCGAAAGAAACGAATCGTTAACATTCATTACGTCATAGATTCATATCAATATAATTTACCAACAATCGTGTCACGAAAGAACAAACAAACGAACAAACGATGAAAAAATTTGTTTGGTTGTTTTATTAATTAATTAATTTACACAGATTACAAACGTTAATAATAAATTTTAAACATGTTAAAGTAATGATTAAGGTCAAAGTTTAAATTTTGTTTGTTGTGTTAAAACGTCGTTTGTGTTTGAAATTTTGTTTTTGTTGTTGTTGTTGTTGTTTGTTTCAAAAGAACGCCTCGAATAATTATTATATCACTTTCACATTTGTTTTTTTATTTTCAGATGGTCGGATCTGCAGTTTTAGGAGCAGCAGCGGGTACTGGTTTGGCATTAGTCGTAGCCATGACGATAGTTGTGTACAGGTACTATGCTCATAAGAGATACGGTAAAGAATGGAGCGATTTGGAAAGATTCAGCGATTCGAGAACTTCGTCGTATACTAAAAAAAATTCCGGATATTCCATAACTCAAAAGGTAAGTCTTTCATTATTATTATTATTATTATTACGGTTTTTTTTTCTCTCCATATATTTAATCACGTTCTTATTTACATTCATTTTTTACTAAACCGGAAATAAATCGTACTTAAAAATGATAATGAAAAAAAAAAAAAATCTTAGCTCCTGGATATAGATGGATTTACTCAACTAGTAATTTTAAATAATAATAATAATAATAATTAAAAAGAAAAAGTTTAAAATTTAACGTTAAATTTAATATTATTCGAATAAAATATATAAATTTAAGGGAAAATTGTCGCCATCGCGTTAAATTAAAATTTTTTTAAATAATCGAATGAATTAAAATAATTTGCAAAAAAAAAATAAAAGAAAATTTTAAATAATAATAAGAGAAAAACGTTTAAATGAAAATGAAAAGGAAAGTTCTAGAACAAAAAAGAAATTTTTTTTTTTTTCATCGTTATAAAAAAGTAATTAGAAAAACGTCAAAAAAAAAAAAAGAAAAAAAAATTTTCATTTGTAATTTTTTTTTTTTTTTTTGATTAATTATCGTTTGATTTTTTTATTTATTTATTGATTTAACGGTTTTTATTTATATACTCTATGAAATAACGGATTTTTCGGAAGTAAGAAATCGTCGTTAAAATTTTTACTTGAAAAAAAAAAAAAAAAAAAAAAAAAAATTAAATTAATTAAAACGTTAACGTTAACGTCTAACGTCTACGTCACGTCCGTTAAAATTTAAATCGGTTTAAAGCAATGTTGCCAACTTTACATAATTATGGAGAAAAATGAGAGCGGAAAATTTTTTTTTTTTGAATTTTATTTTTACGACTTTTATCATTATCATTATTATCACGCGGTAGCATATGAAAATTATTATTATTATTATTATTACACCGCGTTATGAAAATTTTCGAAAAGGGAAATCGGGGGATGGGAGGAGAGGGGAGGAAGGGGAAGGAGAGGGGGTAAAAATATGTCCGAATTTGACCGTTATTTTTTTTGAAAAAATTTTTTTTTTTTTTTTCAAATTAAAATATGTCTTCCATCCAGATGATGTCATATTTTTACGTGTTTTTTAATTTTTGTTTATACAAACTCGGAAAATTTGGCAGAAGACGAAGCAGAAGACACGACAAAAAAATTTTTTTTTTAACACACGCGTGACGTTACCATATAAATTCCCATTACTTTATTGATCGTGGCATTAACTGATTTCAAATTCCCTCATTGGATAAGTTTTTTCTCTTTATTTTATTTATTTATTTTTTTTTTCGTACAAATTAAATTTAAATTTTTAAACGTTTTTTTTTTTCTGCTGACACGACGAGGGTGTTTTTTTTTCTTTTTTTTGACGTTTACAAAAGAAAGGGAAAATTTTTTTTAATTTTTCTGGATTTTGTTGATGGGGGGAGAGGGTGGGAAATTTTTTATATAAAACGGGAAATTTTTTTTTTTTTTAAATTTTAACCTTTGACCTCTGTTAAATTTATAACATTTTTGAATAGTTTTCTACGAGTTTCTAGAAAAACCACGCAAAAAAAAAATAAAATAAAATTTTTTTGACAACCGTACGAAATTTATAACACCGAAAAAAAAATATAAAAAAAAATATACGAAGGGAGATTCTTGAGTGGGGGTTGCTGTCCCTTCCTTCCTCCTCCCTCTCTCCTCCTTCCCCCCCCCAAAAAACACGCCGTAAAAATATGAATAAATACATAATAATGATAATTTGGTTGCGGTTATGGTCGAAATAGAAAAAAAAAAAAAAAGTAAACAACGATTTTCTTTCCACCTTTTTTTTATTTTTTTTATTATTCGTGTAGGGGGATGTGGCGGGGGCGGAAGGGAGGGGGTAAGGAAATTTTGACGCTTTCGAGGAAGTACGAAGTGGAGGTGGGGAGGGGGGAGGAACACACTTGATGAAAATGCAAAAAAAAACTTTTAATTATTTTTAATTTAATTGTTAATAAAAAAAAATAAATCTTATTAAAAATGCGGGAAAATCGAGCAAAAAGAAAAAAAGGAGGGAGAGGAAAATGTGAGGGGAGAGATAGGAAAGGAAAAAAAGGTGGGGAGGGGGTAAAAACCGGATGGTGAGAATGATGGTGAAAAAGAATGGTTTTTTTTCCCCGTTCACTTTCCTTTTTTTTCTTTCACTCCGTTGAATTTTTCGTTCCTTTGAAAAATTTACTTCAAAGGTTAATGATGATAATAATAATAATGATAATAATGATGATGATAATGATGATGATGATGATGAGAAGAAAATCTTGGAAGTTGTTTTCTTTTTTTTTTAACTTTGTAAAACCTTAAATTTGTTTTTATGATAAAAAAAAAAAAATGAACAAGAAAATGCGAAAAGGGGGGACGAGGGACAGGGGAGGGAGGGAGGAGGAAAATCATAAGAAAAAGTTTTTTTTTTATTCGAACTTTTTTTTTTTTTTTCGCTGTTGGTCTCTCTCTCATTTCTCTTTCTTTCACTTTCTTTTCTTTTTCTCTCTCTCTCTTGCTCTTTCATCACCTTCTTTCATTGACTTCTCCCTCTCTCTCTCTCTCTCTCGGTCTTTCCCTCCCTTTCTTTTGATCACACTGTCGCCAACAGGTTCATAACAATAATAAAGTCATTAATATGCTAACGGTGTAAAAATTATAATATTTATTAACGTGCAAAAAAAAAACGTATTTAGATTTACAAGTAAAAAAAGGAAAGAATCGGAAGGAAAAGTTTTCTAAGGTTATAATGAAAAAAAAAAAAATGGCGGAGAGGAAAAGTAAAAAAAAAGAAAAAATTGGGATTTACTCGGGGAGGGAAAAATAAAATGGTGGTGAGAAGAGAGTGTTTTGAGAATTGGGAAAAGTCAAAAAAATTTCAAAGTTGATGCCGTTGAAATTTTTTTTTTTCCCTCCGAAAAAAAATTCCCTGCTCCCTCCTTCCTCCCCAAACAACTTCTTCTTCCCCTCTCTCCCTTTCCCCTCCTCCCTCTTGGAAATTTCATCGTGTATTTCTTTTTTTTTTTTTTTGAGGGAGTCTGTGTGCGGGATTCACTTCGAAAAATGTTCCCCCGACTCGTTATTCACGTCAAATTATTATTATTTTTGTTTTAAATTCGAAATGCTTTACTGGTTACGGTCCTGCTTTAAACGAAAATGATTGTAATAAAATATTTACGATTCCAGTGTATGACATTGTATGTATGTGCCCTTATTCTGGAAAAATTTTACGTTTAAAAAATATTTTCTACGTCGTAAACGAAAACAAAAATTATTATTTTTTTTTTTTTAATTTTGAGGGGGTAAAAGGGGGGAGGGTGATGGATAGGGGTGGAAGACGGTGATAATAAAAAAATATGTGGGAAAATCATTAAGGTGGAAAATCATTTTAAAATTTCCCTTCCCTTTCCCTCACCCCGTCGAAATCGTATAATTAATTTCGCGTTTTGTTAAGGCCGTTAAAAAAATTAATAAAACAAGAGAAACGTGACGTCGAAACGAAATTTGTGACGTCATTATAATTACGTAATAATCGTTTTGGGTAAATAAAAAAAAAATAAGAAAAAAAAAAAACAGGAACGTTATTGTCGTGTCCCTTCGAATAAACTTTTTCCCTTTTTTTTTTTTCAATTTTTACAGCCTTCGATGTTTCCCCCCCCCCCCCCCCGTTATAATTATTATTATTAGTACTATTATCATTATTATTATTATTTCCGTAAATACGGTTAATTTTTTTAAACGCGTGACGTCACGAGTGCGGTTAAATTTTATTTTTTTTATATATATATATATATATTTAACCCGATCGTAATAATTTTCGACGACTGCGACATCTATTATTTAATTTTTGAAATAAAAAAAAATATGGCGTCTTTGTAACCGTTTTAACGGTAGTGTTAGTTGTTTAAAAAATAAACCAGTAGAGGTTTCGACGCGTCACACCGATGAAAAAAAAAATTTTCTTTTTTTTTTTTTTTTTGGGGGGGGGGGGGAAATGGTAAATTTGTCCGTTTTATTATAATAATAATTATTATTATTATTAATATGGGAAAATATAAAATTTTTCTCACGCGAATGATTTCGTAAAAAAAAAAAAACGAATGTTTTTATTTTATTTTTTTTTAAAGAATTTAAATGGCGAATGATTTTTTTCCCATTTTTAAATACAATATCAACACCTTTACAATATTGATTAGCTTAACTTATGACGTGACGTCATTGTGGTTTAATAACATTGAGCGAACGGGAAAATCCTTCGTTTCCTTTTTTTTTCTTCTTCTCGTTTTTCCCGTCTCCAACCTGCCAATCAATTACAGGCATGACCTTATGCCCTTTTTGTCCTTTTCTTTTTTTTTTTTTTTATTACCCTTTTATTTACCTTAGTTCAGGTTATTTATTGTTTTTTTTTTTTTTTTTTTTACCTTTTTCACTCTCCTTTTCCTTTAAAAAGTTTTCTCGCATACTCTCCCTCTCCCTCCCTCCCTCTCTCTCTCTCTCTCTCTCTTTAAATTTAAACACTTGTTGTTGAAACTGGCACGTTTTCAATGCCCCCCCCATTTGCCAAAATTTTTTATTTTAGAAATTATACCTTAAACAATTCGAATAATAATAATAATAATAGTTACGATTAAACGTTCGTACTTATAATCCGCGTGTCAAAACGAAAGCAGAAGACTTTTTTTTTTATTTAAATTTGCGCATGTTCGCAAAAAATTTTTGTTAAATTTAGTTTTTACTACCATCTGCTATTATTTTCTACGTTTTCGTCATGTTTATAACCCCTCCCCCTGCTACCACCACCACCACCACCGCCGCAATATGGGGAAGCACGTTCGCAAAATAATAATAATAATATGTAAAAAATTTGAACGTAAATGAAACGTCTCCATATGATGATGATGATGATGATGTTGACGACGATGATGACGATGATGATGACGACGACGATGATGATGATGATGATGAACGTTTTCTTCGTTCACGTAAAAAAAAAAAAAAAAAAACGTCACGGAAAATCGTCATCGAATCATCAAGAAAACAAATTTTCCGGATGATATTTTTCATTACGTAAAAATCATTAGAAAAAGTCGAAAGAGAGAGAGAGAGGGAGAAAGAAAATGTCAATAAAAAAAAAAAAAAAAGAAAAAAAAAAAACATATTAAAAGATCGGTTTTAGGATAGGAAGTGAAAATTTACGAAAAAGGGAGGAAGGTTAAATGGTGTTAAAGATAACAAGAAAAAGGAAAATAATAATAATAATAATGAAATTGAAAAGAAAAAGCAGAAGTAAAAAAAAAAAGGAAAAAAAATAATGAGAGAGAAAGGGAAAGAGAAAGAGAGAGAGAGAGAGAGGAAAGGGTGCACAAAATACGCGATTTGGATGTTCGCTGGAGAAAAATTTCACGATCCGTCCGGGTCTGGACATGCGCTCTGGAGAGAAATTGAAAAAATTTTATATATATATAAATTAATGTCGTATTTTCATTTCGGCGATTTCACAACAACAACAACAAACGGTTGTTTCACATCGGATGTTATCAGTTATCAGTTACGTTCAATCAAAAAAATATTATTATTATTCTTAATATTGATGTAATAAAAAAACGTTTTTCCCATTAACGTTATTATTATTATTATTGTTTTATTTTTGTGAAACGAACGGGGAAAAAAAAATTTAATTTGTTTTTTACGCCGCGGATTTATTTCTTCCGATAATAATAATAATAATAGTGAAAAAAATACGGGCGTGTGTGTGTACGTGCGTGCGACGTGTGAAAGCGACATAAAAAGCGCCGAAATCTAGGTCTCTACAATAAGAGGTTGGACATTTGGAAAAGAAAAGAAAAAGTAGAAGACTGGAGGGGAGAGTCGATGGGGTGTTGTCGACGGTTGTAGACAAGAGGAAGAGGAAGAAGAAGGGAGAGGAAGAGAGGAAAAACGGAAAAGATGTAAAAGGACCGATGTGTAAAAAATAATAGGTGGTGCAAAAGAACGTGAGAAAAAAAAAAATTTAATTTACCTGTTGATGACACAAATGACGGTTAAAAAAATCGAAGAACGAGATATCGAAATCGAAATCGAAATTATGTAAAACATCGATCGAGTTTTTTGTTTTTTCTCTTTAAAAAAAATTTTTTTGTAAAATTTTTCTACGATGGAAACGTCGAGAAGGAAAAAAAAAGGTGGATTGATTGAAAAATTTCGGGAATAATAATAATAATAATAATAATTACGAAAGGGGTGTGAAAAATTCACGCGCGCGAAAGGGGTTGAAAAATTTATGAAGTGAAAAAAAAAAAAAAAAAAAAAAAGAAAAACCAAACCGGAAATGTCACTCGGTAGCGGTTTCGGTCCAGCTACTTGCTGGATAACTCACAAAGGATTAGAAACGTGGGCAAGGTTGGCAAAGGAAAGACACAAATCGACGCCGACGACGCCGGAAAAAAAAAAACAGGAAAGCGATAGCGAATCACCCAAAGAAAATCAGGTATTTTAACGGAAATTGTGACGTCATAAACAATCGGGTTCAAGGTCTGGGGGGGGGGGAAATTAAAATTTAAAAAAAAATTCAACCGGAAAATTTTTTTTTTTTCTCGTAAACGAATATGTATGGATTTAAATAATTTACGAGTGTAAATAAATCACTCGCACCCCCTTAACCCCCAACCCCCCTACCACCACCACATTTAATTCCTTTGACCTTTACCATTGATAACGATTATAAGAAAAGTTTAAAAAGAAAGGAAAAAGCAAAGCGAACGAACGAACGTGCAAAAGAAAAAATTTTTTTTTATTATTTTTCCCTCCCCTCCCCCTTCCCCTTCCCCCCGATAAAAAAAATTTCTTCTGCTCCGACGTTTGTTGATTTATTAATCGCGTCGATTAATCGATCGATTATCGATATTGTTCTCGTGAAAGAAAACATTTATCGTTGGTCAAGGCTGTGGGAAAAACGATTTCAAAAAAAAATTATTTAACAAATTATTATTATTATTATCATTATTATCATTATTATTACCATCATTATCATTATTATTATTAACAAAACTATCGTTTCGTCATTTATTTATTTATTTATTTATTTATTATTAATTAAATGAATCGGAAATTTATTTAAATAACAAATAAATAAATAAAGATGGCTTCCGCCAACTCCGAGTTCTCTCTTATTATGGTTTTCTTTAAAATGATTACGTAATTGTAATTACGTCATCGCTTTCGGTTTTTTTTATTTTACAATCAAAACCGGAAACGCATGAAAATAATTAAATAATTGCGTGACGCACGCGGTTGAACTCGAAATGAAAAAAAAAAAAAAAATTTATTAAATGTATTACGATTTTAATAATAATAATAATAAAACGAAAACGTTTTCGTTATTGTTACATGTTGCCTCCTCCCACCCTCCTTCCCTCCCTCCCCTCTTCTTTTAACAATCCTTCGGGATTATGCCGGGGAAAGTGTATGTAGTACGTGCGTGACCACATCATCATCATATCCTTCTATCCCGTTTTACAAAATTAAAGAAAAAAAAAAATTTTTGAAAATGGCGCGGATTGGGTTGAGAAATAAATCGTATCGATTATCATTATTATCATCGTCGTCGTCGTCATTATTATCATCATCGTTTTTTTTTTGAACGTTTTTCCTTTTTTTTTTCTTTTCTGTTGTTCGATTTCAAATTCGGAAAAAGGTCACACAATTGGGTCAAATATATTTTCAAATAATAATAATAATAATAATAATAATAATAATAATAATAATAATAATAATAATAATAATAATGGTAACAATGATAAGAATTTAAATTTTATGAGTGAGAGAGAGAAAGGGAGGGAGGAAGGGAAGGGGGGACGAGTACGTTTTGAACGTAAGTAAAGAAAAAAAACGTCACGCGTGGATTTTGTATGATGACGTCACGGGTTGTGTAACGGGGAAGAACCGGTTATGTGTTAAACCCAATTTTGGAAAGATTTTATTTAAAAAAAAAAAAAAATAGAGGAAAATAAAATTTCTTAAATTTAATTTTTTTTTTTTTTTACCGGGGAGAGAGAGTGAGAGGGGGGGAGAGAGGATTTTACGTCTCCTAACGAGAAAAATTTCATTTCAAGGCGGAAGCAGAAGAAAAAGGAAAAAAAGGAAAAGTTCAAACCGACTTGACATGAAGAAAAAAATTTGATTTTTAAACCTTTTAAAATAATTTTTTCTTTTTTCTCCATTTTTTTTTTCCCATCGTCATCATCATCATCATCATCATCATCGTCGTAATCGTTAAAATCATTTTTTTTTTCTGGAAGACCTTTTCCAGTCCGAAATTACCCCCCACAGCCACCACCACCACCACCTCCGTGCCAAAGCTAATAAATCTTGTATTATTCGACCTGCCATTTAATCGACAAACCAACCCTTAAAATATTTTTCCTCGCCCTTTATCATCATCGTCATTATTATCATTATTATTATTATCAGTATTATTATTATTATTATTTTCTTGCACGAGAAAAATGAAAAATGTATGAAAATGAATAAATGCATAAATATTATTATTCACGGGGATGTCAAGATGATCGAATACACCCTAATTTATTTTCGAATTGAAAACGTTTGAATTTGACCTCTGACCTCCTCTCCCCTCCCTTCCTCCCCCCTTTCCGGGAGTTTTCCCGTTCGAATGAAAAATTTGAAAACTGGAGAAAATTAAAAAAAAAAAAAAAAACATTTAAAATGTCAACGATAATAATCAATATTGCTTTGTCTGTCTGTGTGTAAAAAAAATTTTCCGGAAAAGGAAACGTTGAGGGACGGAATACGAAGGGGGAGTGGGAAGGAGGGGAGAGAGGGAGCGGGGAGGGAGTAGCGAATTAAAATTTTTAATGAAACCGGATGTTTATTATTAATAATTTTTTAATACTTTTTAAAGAAGTTTTCGAATGTGAATATTTTTAATCCTGTTGGGGGTAATTAAAAAAAAAAAAAAATGGTTTCGCTTTTTTTTTTTATATACATTTAATCCGTTTACTAATTGAAAAATACGACACGTGACGTGATGGGGAAAAAAAATTGAAAACAAACAACAAACGGAAACGACAAACAGGAAAATATATTATTTAAAAAAAAAAAATGTATGGTAGTCGATGATCGAAATTAATTTTTATAAAGGAATTGTATCGTTTGTTGAGTTTTCTCTTTTTTTGGGGGGATGGGGGAAAGGATTGGAAAATGGAAAAAAACGTACCTGGAAAAATTGAGTGTGTAATACAAGGAGATGTGAATTTTTCTTCATTTTATCCTTTTCTTGATTACAAAAATAAAATTTGAATTTTATTTCTCTCTCTCTCTCTCTGTTCAATTTTTTTCCTTTTTTCTGTCTCTTTCTCTCTATAAGTCAATTTTTCTGTACCTGTTTTTTGTTTCGTTTTCTCTCTCTCTCTCTCTGTGATCTATTTTTCTCATTCTCCCTTTCTCTCTGTTTTATTTTTTTCATTCTCACTCTCTCTCTCACTCTTTCTGTTTTATTTCTCTATTTCTCTCTTTCTATTCAATTTTTCTCTTTCTCTTTCATTCTGATTAGCGTTTCTCTTTATTTCTCTCTCTCTCTCTGTTCTATTTTTCTCTTTATTTCTCTCTCTCTCTCTGTTCTATTTTCCTCTTTCCCTCTTTCTCTTTAACTTTGGTTAGTTTTTCTTTTTTTCTGTGTTTCTTTCTATTCAATTTTTTTCTTTTTCTCTCTCTGTCTCTGTTCTATTTCTCTCTCTCTTTCTGTTCTATTTTTCTCATTCTTTCTGTCTCACTTTTTGTGTTTTATTTCTCTCTCTTTCTCTCTGTTCAATTTTTCTTTCCCTTTCCCTCCCTCTATGTTCAACTTTTTTTTCTCTCTCTCTCTCATTCCGTTCAACTTTTCGTTCATTCTCTCTATCTCTCTCTCTCTCTCTCTCTCTCTCTCTCTCTCTCTCTCTCTCTCTCTCTCTCTCTCTCTCTCTCTCTCTCACTTTTTATTTCTTTCTCTAGGTTTTCGTGTTTGACGTTTATTTAATCATCATATAATTTTTTTTTTATTTATTTTTTTTTCCCTTTTTATTTTTTTTGAAAAAGGTTAAAGGTCGTTTAGTTAATCGAATAAACGATTATCGAGTTTTTTAAAAAACAATCTCGATAAAGCATCGTACGGTTAACTAAATCACGCAATCGTTTCAAAAAAAAAAAAAAAAACCGCTCGCGCGTTATTAATAATATCATGTTAATAATGTAAATTGGAAAAAAAGGAAAAAAAAAAAAAGGAAAAAAAAGGAAAAAAACAATTTTTCAAGTGATCCTTCATGATCACAAGAGCGGGCGGCTCTTTTAATATTAAATTAATTTATCGAACCCGGAAAATTTCATCGTTTAAAAAACTTTTTTTTTTTTCCCGACTCCCCAAAGGTTCGTTCGATCGACGATAAAAGTTTAAAATGAAAAAAAAATCTGAAAGTGGGTTATTTAGGAGGGAGTGGGGTGGGAAATGGGGGATGGGGGGGAATTGAAAGAAGGAAAATGAAAATTACATGTAATTAAATTTTTTTGTTTTTTTTTTGTGACTTTTCCGACGGAAAAATTAAATTTTTTTTTTTTTTGTGACTGGAGAAAATGGAAAGTATAATTAAAAAAAGAGGTTTGTTCCTTCGTTTGTTTGTTTGTTTCCTTGTTTGTTTTTATAAATATTTTAAGATTTCCAGATGTGTCTGGAAATGGATATTATTTCCAGTCGTCGTACGTCGCGAACGTTAAATTGTTTGTTTTTGTTTTTGTTTGTCGAAGGAATTTCAAATAAATAAAGAACAACGAATTGTTCAGCCAACGAGCACTGTTGTTCCACACACAGTTAATCCAGATCTCCCGAGGGCACCACTGGAACTCACTCATCAGGCAAAATCATATCCAGGACGAACAACAACAAAATTCACTCGAACGCCTAGCATATCGTCTCAGGGAAGTTTAGACAGTTGCATTTCAAAACAGGTAAAGGAAAAAGAAAAGAAAGGAAAGGAAAAAAATTTTCCTTTTTTCCTGTTTGACCTTTGACATTTTCAATGCGTAAAAGTTTCCGCTGCCGCCGACGGACATAAGGAAAATTTTTAATTAAAAAAAAATTTCAATTTTCAATTGTAGAATTGCGAACATCGTGGATCCTCACCACAGATTCGTACATTTTCTCCAGATGGTAAATCAAACAATGTACCCGTCGGAGATGGTAGCGGTGCAGCAGCATCCGGTGGAAATCTTCGTTCTACGTCACCACACAGAACGGCATCACTAGATATGAGAAGTTCCAATTGGGATGTTAGAACTCAAAGTTCGAGTCAAGGTTCTCTCTCTAGTATTGTTTCATCCGTGTCGTCTGCTCCGACTCCAAGTTCTCCCAGACATCAGGGTAAGCATGAGTAACAAAAAACATTTTTCCGTCGGTAAAGACAGTTTTTCCTAAAAATTTTGTACTTACAGGTGGCATCAACAGATGTTTATCTCCTTTGCTTATTCCAACGGCGGTACGAACTGTCACGTCCGAATCTCAAATGCCTCCTCCTTGTAGCCCACTCGGAGCCATACAACCTGATTTATACACGAAAAAAGAAGGTCCGCTGTTTTTATCGGGAAACGGAAACGGTTCCAGTTTGGGTCGGCTACATTTAAGGTTGAAATATGATTTCGATAGATCAGATCTTATCGTTCATCTCATCGAAGGTAGGTACCCTTTCTCTCTCTTACACCTACTATGCCCGCGCGTGTGTGTGTGTGTCACTAATAAAAAAATTTATTTCCGCAAGCGCACGACCTGGCAGGAAGCGAATCAGGTGGTTTTAACGATCCTTACGTACGTTTGGAATTGATACCGGCCATAGATAACCGGAAAAGGCAAACGACAATTCATAGAAACAACAACAATCCTTATTTCGACGAACATTTTAAATTTCCGGTTTCGTTTGAAGATTTACAAAATAAAACATTGTTGTTTCAGGTACTACTACCCCTACCCCTACCTCTACCCCTTTCCACCAAAATTTCCCTCACGTGACGATAGAACTAGAGATAATGATGATAATAATTTTTTTTAAAGATATTCGATTACGATCGTTTTTCGAGAAATGACGTCATAGGGGAAGTTAAGATACCCATGATGGACATAGAAGTGATATCGAGCATAGAAATATGGGGAGAAATAACAAAAGGGAAAAAACCTCGGGAAGAATTTCAAGAATTGTTGATATCGTTGAGTTACCTACCCTCGGCGGAACGTTTGACGGTCGTCGTACTCAAAGCAAGAAATTTATTCTTACCGGAAGACAAAGAAATGATCGGTGCGAAAAAAAATAAAAATTTAATAAGGATGCGTATCATGATAATGATGATGATGATAATGATAACGATTTTCAGATCCTTTCGTTAAAGTTTATCTCATAGCGGAGGGAAAAAGGAGTAAAAAGAAGAAAACGGCAACGAGAAAAGGAAACAGGAATCCCGTCTGGAACGAAGCACTGACGTTTAACGTATCATCATCCTCGTTGTCGAAAGCAGCCATCGAAATATGCGTTTTGGATCAGGGTAACGATTTGATTGGACACAATCCACTACTGGGATGCTGTCTCGTTGGTCCAGGTGAAATAGGAACGGAAAGAGATCATTGGATAGAAATGATGAATAGTCCTAGGAAAGCAATCGCCATGTGGCACACGCTACGGTAGATGATGTATTAATAATAATAATAATAATAATAATAATAACCACATATACATAATTTATATTAGTACGATATACACGCTTGATACTTTTTTTTTTTTTTTTTAAATTTTACGCGCGAATCGACGATTCTATTGACACGTTATTTTTTTATCACCCCGTAACGCGCGTAAGAATCCAAGATGGTTTGTTTCACGTAAATGCTATATGCGTGAATGCGTGCGTGACAGCAAACGTAAACATCTTGATGATGATAATAATGATGATGATGATGATGATGGTGATAATAATGATAATAAAATTAAGGGAAACGCGTTAAAAATATTTTAAAAAATCACTTTTAATCATTTATTTATTATGTTTATATTTAAAAAAAAAGGGTATTGTTATTATTAAAAATAATATATTAACATAAATATATATATAATAATGAAAATGATAATGATAATGATAATAATAATAATAAGGTGGATTTTCAGGTGTGCGTAAAAATTTAAGTCAATATATTATGTGCCACGAAAAAAAAATAAAAAAATTATAAAAAAAAAAAATTTATAAATTTATAAATATATATATATATAATATTGGTTTTCGTGTTTGTGTTATCGTGTTTTGTAAAATTAATAAATATTAATAATAATAATAATAATGGTAATGATAATGATAATAATAATAATAATATTAATCCAAATGAAAAAAGTAAATAAGACCAACCAAAAAATGTTTTTAAAATTATTATTATTCTTATTGTTATTATTGTTATTATTGTTATCATTATTATTATTATTAATTGTTATTTATATATATATGTATGTTTGTAGTTGCTTTTAACGAAAGGTAAATTAATAAATAATAATAATAATGATAATGATAATCCGGCCTTAGAAATTATACAAAAAAAAAAAAAAAAAAATCGTTTTATTTATCGTATGTGCATATAGGTGAGTGATAAGGGTAAATTGGTGGGTTTTGACATAAGGTAAATATAGGCGAGAGAAAAAATTTATATAATAATTTGTTAAAAACGAAAATTTGATTAATTAATTCGTGAAATTATTTTTATGAATCCGTTAGAATGCGAACGTTTGTTCGTTTGTATGTTTGTTTGTTGTTTTTGATAAGTGATAAGGGGTAAGTTCGTGTAAAAAAAAAAAAAATAAAATAAAAAATCACGATTGAGAAAATGTCGGTCGTAGAGTTAAAATTTTTAATTTGGATTAATTTTAATATAAAAAAAGAAAAGAAAGAAAATGTGTGACGTAAACACAGGGTTGCCATTTGTACGTTTGTTCGTTTGTATAATTTTTTTTTTTAACTATAAACTTTACTTTTTATTTTACACTTTAAAAAAATTTCTCGAAAATGATTGATTGATTGATTGTTAATCAATGATATTTTTCCGCCTTATTATTATTATTATAACAAACGTAGGGCTAGGAGAGGGGGAAGGGGGGGGAGAAAATAAGATTTTTTTTTTTTCATAATTATTATCATCGCTTATTTTAAAGTGATTTTTAAATTTGTTCGTTTGTTTGTTTCATTATTATTAATTTTTTTTTATTTTTTAAGTAAAATGGTTTGAATGGTAAATGCGTTGGTATGTGCAAAAAGGGAAAAATGAATCTCATTAAAAAAATTAAATGTAAAAATATATAAAATTTATCGCTTTCTTTTTTTTTTTATTAATAATATTGTTGTTGTTACTGCTGTTGTTAACAAAAAAAAAAAAAAGAAGCCTATATAAAAACGAGAATTAAATGTTTTGTCGTGTTGTATCGTAAACGTTTTTATTTAAATTTATATATATATATATTTGAAAATTTTATTTTAATAAATAAAATATATTTTTATTTTCCAGGTAAATAATAATAATAAATAAATTATAAAAATATATATAAATAAATATAAATAATTTGTTTGTTTTTAAAATTTGTTTGTTTTCTTTTCTTTAACGGTTTATTGTATATATTTAAATTATTTTCGGAATAATTTGCCGCGAGTTTATTTACTCTATGGTAAAAATTGCAAAAAATGAAATTGCACGACGACCTCCGATCCTCCGACACGATAAATTATAATCAACGTCTATGGCTTTGTGGAAATGGCTTCTACGAGATGTTTACTAGGAATATATAATTTAAAAACTTTAAATTCGACAAATTTAAAATCGCTTAGTTCCATTCTTAAACATTCTTATTCAAAGTGTTACCATTGTAAAATAATTTTATCAAAATCCCTTATTTCATCTAATCACGTTCAAAATTTTCCTGCGTTTCCACGTAAGTTTTTCAGACCGGTTGTTTTTTTTCCTTTTCTTTTTTTTTTTTTTTTTTTTTTTTCTCATTGAATTTTATTTTCTAAGCGATAAGATATCGTTTAAATATTTTATTCACGTTAATTAGTATAATTGAATATTATTTATCGATGTAAATAATTATTATTTATGGTTTTTTTTCTCTTATTGTCATTATATATATAATATTTATACCTCGTGAACGAATTGTTCATAACCTCACATAATTTTTTTTTTCGAATAAGAAAATCGTTATCAATTTTTTTGTTTTAAACGATTAAAATCCTTTAATAAAGAGTCGATAGTTAGTTGCAGTAATATTGATTGTAATAATTTTTTTTTTTTTAGAAAATCAAGTCAAAAAATTTCATACTGCCTTCACCTTACACAAAAAGAGAGATTTTTATGAAGTATTAGGCATACCTAAAAATGCTTCTTCTAAAGATATAAAAAAAGCATATTATGAATTGGCTAAAAAATATCATCCTGACACGAATAAAAATGATCCAAATGCAGCACTTAAATTTCAAGAAGTTTCCGAAGCTTATGAGGTACGATAATTTTATTTTAATCCTACTTATATGAATCCTACCCATTTCGTTTTGTTGAAGGATTTTTTTTTTTTTTATCAGTGTTTGAGTGATAATGCCAAAAGAAAACAATATGATCAGTGGGGTACAACATCAGATCAAATGGGTGGAATGGGTGGTGGAGGAGGAGGAGGAGGAGGAAGCAGCTCCAGAGCTGGATTTAGTGGTAACGAATGGCAGTTTAGGTCGAGTATTGATCCGGAAGAATTATTTAGGAAAATATTTGGCGATGCCGGAATGAAAGGAGGATTCGGAGATTTTGAAGATTTTAGTGATGGTTATGGTTTTGGTGCTGCTCAAGAAGTAAATTTTTTTTTTACTTTTAAATTTTTTTAGTAATTTGGATAAATAAAAAGAATTATTTTTTTTAAAAAAAAAAAATTAGGTTACTTTAAAATTAACATTATCTCAAGCTGCTCGAGGTGTAAATAAAGAAATAGTTGTTAATGTAGTTGACACGTGTCCCTACTGTCATGGCACACGTTGTAGTCCAGGCACTAAAGCTGTTAAATGCAGTTATTGTAATGGAACCGGTATGGAAACAATCAGTACAGGTCAGCCATTAACACCTTTTTCTTTCTTTTGTTCTGTTCTCGATTAGTTCTTCTTAATACTAATAATAATAATAATTTAAACAGGACCTTTTGTCATGAGGTCAACATGTCGATATTGCCAAGGTACACGAATGTACATAAGATATCCTTGTCTCGAATGTCAAGGAAAGGGAAATACCGTTCAAAAGAAAAAAGTAACAGTTCCAGTTCCTGCAGGTAATTTCTCCATCCAATGAAATGATTTCTCGTGTTAATTTCGATTATTGGAAAAAATTATTATTATTATTATTTGGAAATTTCCAGGTGTCGAAGATGGACAAACGGTTAGAATGACATTAGGGAAAAGAGAAGTTTTTATAACGTTTAGAATTGAAAAATCTAGTTATTTTAGAAGGGACGGTTGTGACATACATACGGATGCGACGATATCATTATCTCAAGCCGTTCTGGGAGGAACGATACGCGTTCAGGGAATATACGAAGATCAAACGATACAGGTAGGTACAGGCATGTGTATAATGTACGACTTTTTTTTTTCCCTTTGTAAGGTATGTAATGTGTACTGTATTCTCGTTTTAAGATATCGCCCGGTACGAGTTCGCATACGAGAATAAAATTGTCGGGAAAAGGAATGAAAAAGGTTAGCACGATGGGTTACGGTGATCATTACGTTCACGTTAAAATTTCAATACCGACCAAGTTAAATGAAAAACAAAAAGCTTTAATGCAAGCATATGCTGAATTAGAAGATGACACCCCCGGGGTCATACACGGTGTCACGTTTAAAAAAGACGGTGAGTGAGTGATATCTCATTACGACAAATCTATTATTATTATTATGATTATGATGATAATGATAATGATAATTCCACTGGGTTTTTTTGTCTTTTTCAAACCTGCCTGAGTTTATATGTAATTAATTTTTTCTCTCTCTCACTCTCTCTCTCTCTCTCTCTTTATCCACTCTTTCTCTCATCGATTAAAAAAAAAAAATTAAATTTTTATTAATTTTAATTTTTTTGTCGAATAAGTTTTAATTTAAAAAAGGCACAAATAGGGAGGGGGTTAGGGTGAGGGTGAGGGAAAGTAAAAAGGGAGGGAGGGAGGGGGGGGAGGTTTTTTTTATATTTCTTTTGTCATATTCAAAGTACGAATCATTTTGTTGTTGGCAGGTTCGAAAGACAGAGACTCAGATGGATTTCAAAGAATGGCAGGAGCTGAAAAAGAAGATTCCGGATTACTCAACAGAATTAAGAAAGCCATTTTGGGTTGAATTTTCTATCTCTTTCTCTTTCTCTCTCTCTCTCTCTGTCTGTCTCTTTCTGCATTACAATAATAAAAAGATATTTATTAATTAATTAATTAATTATCAATCTATCATTGCCTGTATCATTTTTTCTTTCTGTTCTTTTGTTTGTATCAAACAAAACATCATTTTATAATAATTTATAATAATTATTAAACAAAAGGGGAAGAAAGGGGTGGGTGGGGGGAGGGGTTAAAAGTAAACGTTTAATTAAAAGATAACAAACAAAATTTTGATTACTTTTGTTTGTAAATAAGATTAATATTTAATGATTATGTTGTTATTGTTGTTGTTGTTGTTGTTGTTGTTTTTGGTTTAAGTTTATGAAAATGATTTTATTTAATTATTATTATTATTATTATTATTTATTAAGTCGAGGTGAGAGTTAAGCTGAGGTTTTTACTGTTTCTCTCTCTTTCTCTATTTCTTACTTCGTTTTTATCAGGTAGTAGAGTATGCGTATCAGAACCACAAGAACTACTTCAATCCATTCGTAATGCTCTCAACTTCTCAGATAAGAACAACAGCAGCAGCAGCAGCAGCAAGAAAAGGAACAACGTAGTAGATAAAAGAGAAATTTCAAACGATAGGGAAACAGATTATTCAACGGAAACGAGTCGGGAATCGATGGGAAACACATCGAAGGAAGCCAAATGCAGTAGCAGCACCAGCAGCAGCAGCAGCAGCAGCAGCAGTAGTAGTAGTAGTAGTAATAGTTCTTCAAATTCAAATCAAACCGGTTTACATTATACGGATTTGTTAAACAGTCAGAAAATTTTCAAAGTTTGAAAATCATTTTGTGGAAAATGGGAAGGGAATGGAAATGAAAAAATGGATAAAACAAACAAACAAACAAACAAACAAATCATCATTTTCCTTTTTTTTTTTTTATAACTTTTTGTCTCGCCTTGTATTATTAAAAAAAAAAAAAAAAACTGAATTTGGCATATGAGTGATGGTGAAAATGCTTAAATTTCATGCCAAATTGTTTTTTTTTTTTTTTTTTTTTTTTTTTCTGGGGGGAGGGGAGAGGAGGAAGTAAAATAATAATTATAAAAAAATCTCAACTTGCATTTCTTTTTAAAGTTTATTTTAATATATATATATATATAAATTAAATACAACTATAATAATTAAAAGAATTATTAATTCGAATAATTTAAAATTGAAAGAAAGAAGATTAAATTATATATTTTGGTTTTTTTTTAACGATTAAAAAGCAAAAATTATATTTTATTATTATTATTATTAATGTTACTAGTTGGTTTTAAAAGTCATTTTTATTTTTTTTAGTTGATGCATTTTTTTTTTAATCGAATCGATTTTAAATACACATTCTTAGATCCTGTGTTTATAATTATTATTATTATTATTATGGTGTTTTATTTTTAAAAAGCAGTAAAATGTCTTATGCAGATTCAAAACAAGGGAAAATCCAACAGATGAATGATTATTTTAATTGTTAATTAGTTTTAATAAGTAAATTTAAATTAAATAAAGAAAATGTCAAAGCAAATTGAATGATTCTTGCAGTGAAATTGGGAAAACAAAAAGAATCTGTTTGTTTTTTGTTATTATTGTAAAAAATGTTTTTTTTTAGTTTTTACTATTCGAGAAAGAGTGTTTGATGAGTCAAAGAGAGTAATTATAATTTTTTTTATAAAAAGGAGAAGAAACAAGTAAATTGTTCACAAAGTAGCTTTAAATTCTAAATATACAGTTACGTTTAATTAATTAATAATAATGATGGTAAAATTTTTTATTTTTTTTGTTTGTGTTGTTCTTGTCGTTGTAATTGTTTGTGTTTCGATTTTTCCCAACCTTTTAAAATAATTCAAAATATTGAATAATAATGCGTGTGAGTTCTTGACTATAAAATAAATAATAATAATATTTTAACTTTTTGACCGTTAATTTGAAAAAAAATTGTTTTGTTTTATAAAACTAACCTCACTTGGTTAAATTTCTATTTTAAAATTTAGTTTTTTTTTTTTTTCCCGCCTCCCCATTTATTTTAAAAGTTAATAATTTTTAACACAAATAATAATAATAAAAATAAAATGTAATTTTGTCTGTGTTTTGTGTAAAAGTTTGACGTGGTTATAGAAAAAATTAATTGATACGAATTCAAATGAGTTTCTTCTGTCACGAAAAAGAACACATTACAAAAAAGGAAAAAGTCGTTAATTTTTTTTTTTTTTTCTTTTTGATTTATTTCACAGTTTTATCACAGTAATAATTATTATTTATCAATTATTTAAAGATAATAGTTTCGTAATATTAAGTAATAATTGAGTAATATTTGATAATTTCGAGTGTTTTCGATTAAAATAAATAATTTGTGAGATATATGTATGTCTCAATCTATCCGAGTTAATAATTGAATTTTTCTTTTAGAAAAAAAAAACGTTAAGGATTTTTTTTTTTTTTTGACAATATTTATTAAATATTTGTTTATTAATATTGTTGTTGTTGTTGTTAATGTCGTGATAAATAATTTAATGTGAGTGAATTTATTAAAAAAAAAAAATTTAACTGAAGTTATATACGTTGACAACATAAAAAAAACCGAAAGAGTTCGCTAGTGTTACGGCCATATTTTTATGGAGAGTTAAAACGTTTTACAAACACACATACTATGTTACAATTAATCACATGAATTTTTTTTTTTTTTTATTAGTTTTTAATCAATAATAATTTATTAAAAATAATTAAAAAAATTTAATTCGATACGGTGGGGTTAAAATGGTTAAAACGAAAAAGGGAAAAAATATCAATTGGGATGATGACACGTGAGTATTTTTATTTTTCTTACAAATGTAACCCCCCTTTTACATCACGGTTACATATTTTATCGTTTTTTTTTAATTAAAAATTATATTTTTCCACGTTTGACTTTTCCCGTAATGTTATTCACATGCGGAAACATTGTTTTTAATACGTTTACATGATTTTTCATTTAAATTATATTGTTATTTTGAGTAATATGTAAATATTGTTCTAACCTCACCTGGTTACGTTTCCATATATTTACACGTAGTTGAGAATATGTGGCCTTATGTTATAACGATTTTATTATTTTAAATTTTTATAATATTCTCATTAAATTAATACCTTCTAATCGTTTTCGTTTAATTTTACGCCCCATTTTTAAAAAAAAATGATTTTCTTGAATGAAATATGTATTGTTGAAATTTTTACGATTGTCTATTTTAAAAATTTATTATTATTTTTATTACTATGTTCAAAGTGCAACCTTTTTTAATATAAAATTACATCTTGATAACTTTTTGTTATCCAGTTATTAATAATATTATTTTATTTTTTGTTTTTTCAGTGATGAAGATGTCAGTCCAGCTGGAATCGGTGTCAAAGAAAATGCCGAGTAAATAAATAATTTTTTTATAATTATTCGTATTAACAATTTTGTTTTATGTTTAATTATTATAATGTGTAGGATTAATAAAAATAAAATGTAATCATGAAAGGAAACTTAATGTTTAAACACAATTTGTTTATTTTGTAGAGAGAAAGACTCGAATGAGATTTCATTAGGAAAAAAAGAGAAAAAATCTAAAAAGGATAAAAAAAAAGATGATTTTGGTAGTGATAATAATAATGATGATGATGATGATGATTATGGTGGTAAAGGTAAAAAAAAAAAAGTGAAAAAAGTCAAAGGAAAGGGTAAATACGATGATGATGACAACGAAGAGGATCATGAGGTATCGACTAAAAAGAAATCGAGTAAAAAATATGAATCAGATGAAGAAATGGGAAAGCCGAGTAAAAAGAAGGACAAAAAGAAAAGTAAAAGAGGAGGAAGGGGAGGAAGTGAAAGTGATGATGATGATGTTTCTCATTTGACGACAAAATTAAATGCTGCTGAAATTTCAAAAAAACAAAACAAAGTTAAAAATGTTTGTTACCTTTTTCCACATTATCAATTTATTATTTTGTCTGAGTCTTGAGTCTCCTTACAAAAAAAAATTTTGTTTTTAGAGCGGCGATTCGATCGATGATGAATATGTAGATGATTATAAAAAAGGTAATAAATCAAAAACAAAGGAAAAATCAAAAAAAGTTGTCGATTTCCCAATGGATGATGTTAAGGATGAGGGTGAAATGGCGTCAAAAGAAAAAACTAGCATTTGGGATGAAGGTATTCAAAGTAGTTATTATTGTAAATATTATTTATGATTTTAAAAATTGAATATAAAATTATGTGCTACATTAAAAATTTTAGAAAAGCCCAAAGTTCCCGAACCGGATAAGGGTGGGAAAAAAAGTAAGAAGAGTAAGAAAAAAAGAGACGAGGACGATGACGAAGATATTGAAAAAATGTTAGCCGAATTAGAATTAGAATATTCGGGTTTGAAACCCAAGGAAGAAACGAAACCCAACGAACCTTCCAAAACTGATGAAAAACCGAGTAAAAAAGAAAAGGCTGGAAAGAAAGGAAGGAAAGAAGATTTTATATCGGAAGAATTGAGAGCTTTAGATGAAATGGACTACGACTACGATGATGATGATATCCCGGTGAAACCGAAAGAAAAGAAAAAGAAACCAGGACAAAAAGAAGAAGTAAGAAAAAAAATTAAAATATATAAATTATGGAAATAAATAAATAACAAAAATTATTAATTTTTTTTAGAAGGAAGAAAAAAAAACTTCGAAAGGTGGCGATGATGACGATAAGGGTAAAAAGAAGAAAAAAGATAGCGAAAAGGATAAAGACAAGGATAAGGATAAGGGTAAAGTTAAAAAGGGTCCCGGAAGCAAAGCCATTGCGGCCATGCAAGAAGCATTGAAAAAAATTAAAGAAGAAGAAGAAAGATTGGAAAGAGAAGAACAGGAAAGAATTAAAAGGGAAGAAGAAGCTGCTGCTGCAAGGAGAGAGGCTGTGAGTTTATTTTCTGCTCCTCGAAACCTTTTTTTATTATTATTATTATTATTATTATGGCTAATTCTCGTTGCCTGCGGTGGTGAATTCGTTTTTTTTTATTATAATCTTTGTTTAAAAATTATAGCTTCGACTGGAAAAAGAAAAGAAGGAAAAGAAAAAGCAAAAGGAAAAAGAAAGGAAAGAAAGGTTAAAAGCCGAAGGGAAATTGTTAACCGCAAAGCAAAAGGCTGATAAATTGAGAGCACAAGAAATGATAAACGCTTTAAAAGCTCAAGGATTAGAAATACCCGATCCGGGAGAGAAAAAAATTCGACCGGGAACAAGAATCAAACCTAATAAATCGAAATCATTAGTTTCTCAAAATTCTAGTGAGACGAGTTTTTTTTATCATCATCATTATTATTATTATTATTTTTTTTTTTTTTTGGTATTTTTAAATGCAATTAATAAATGTTTGATTTTAAGGCGAGGAGTCTAAGCCGACGGAAACGTCAGATTTACCATCGCCGGAACGAATCCAAGTCGAAATAGTTGACACCAAAGTTGAAAATAAAAAAGAAGAAGAAGAAGAAGGAGAGAGAGAACCCGACGACGTCAAAGATACTTGGGATGCGGAAACGTCAGAAGATGAAGAAACGAGTGAAAAAACGGAACGTAAAACGGCGACCACGTTAAAACACCACGACTCGGAAGAAGAAAGCGAAAGCGAAGAAGATGATGATGAAGACGATGATGACGAAGAAGAAGAGGAAGAAGAATCGAGCGAAGAAGAAGAATCCGAAAGCGAAGATGAACATAAAACGGATGCGGAAAAAAAAAGGGAGAAAGTTGTGCTTAGAATTGAGGTTTTTAAATAATAATAATAATAATAATAATAATAATAATAATAATAATTATTACGATTATTACGTTGTCTTACGATTTTATTCAATTTTTTTTTTTTTTTTTTTACAGAAAAGAAAAGAAGAAGCTTTAAAGAATCGATCATTGGACGTTTTGAGAGCAGCCGTAGTGTGCGTACTGGGTCACGTGGACACGGGTAAAACAAAAATATTAGATAAATTAAGGAGAACTCACGTTCAAGATGGCGAAGCCGGTGGTATAACTCAACAAATAGGAGCAACAAATGTACCCATAGATAACATAAAAGAAACTTGTAAATTAGTTAAAGGGGTAATTGTCGTTGATCTTTAAGGAAAAGACAAACACCATCACTTACAACAATTTATACTCTTTATTATTATTATTATTATTATTATTATTTTTTTACAGTTTGCGGACATGACACTTAAAATCCCTGGTTTGTTAATTATCGACACGCCGGGTCACGAATCTTTTAGTAATTTGCGTAGCAGAGGTTCGTCACTTTGCGACATTGCCATTCTCGTCGTCGACATCATGCACGGCCTAGAACCCCAAACATTAGAATCAATTAATTTATTAAAAACGAGAAAAACTCCTTTTATCGTCGCTCTGAATAAAATCGACAGGTATGCGTACAAAAAGTCGAGAAAAACTCATCGAGTCAAAGTACCTCTTTTCTTTTCTAAAAATCGTTTTTTTTTTTTTTTTTTTTTTTTTTTTAGGTTGTACGATTGGCAAACGGGAGGGAGAAAAGACATACGAGACATATTGAAATCACAGGCGAGTAACACTCAATTGGAATTTCAACAGAGAACGAAAGAGGTCATCGTACAATTTGCCGAACAAGGTTTGAACGCGGCTTTGTTTTTCGAAAATCCCGATCTTCGAAGTTACGTGTCTCTAGTCCCGACGAGTGCGATCACGGGGGAGGGAATGGGAAATCTCTTAGGTCTTATCGTAGAATTTTCACAAACCATGTTAGCAAAGAGACTGATGTATTCGGATTTGCTTTTGGTAATAATAATAATAATAATAATAATAATAATAATTTTCCCTCTGTTTGAAATAACGTCGAAATAAATAATAATAATAATAATAATAATACGTTTGCAGGCTACCGTGTTAGAAGTCAAAGCGATTCCAGGTTTGGGAACGACGATAGATTGTATTTTAATCAATGGGAAATTAAAAGAAGGTTCGACGATAGTTTTAGCCGGAACGGATGGTCCGATAGTCACACAAATCAGGTCTTTACTCATGCCACAACCCATGAAAGAATTTCGTGTTAAGGTAAAAAATGGAAAAAATATTTTTTGTTGTATTTTCCTTGAAAAAAAATTTTCAATCATTTTTTCCTTTCCTTTTTTTTTCAGAATGCTTATTTAGAATATAAAGAAGTGAAAGCTGCTCAAGGAGTTAAAATAGCAGCCAAAGATTTAGAAAAAGCGATAGCAGGTGATTTAACGACATCATCATTATTATTGTACATACGAAGTAATACTCGCGATGACGATTAAAAAAATTTTTTTTTTTTTTTTTTAGGGTTAAATCTTCAAGTCGCGGAAAAACCGGACGAGATACCCATTTGGTGCGAGGAAGTATCCAAAGAATTAAAATCCGCGTTGAGTAGCATCAAGTTGAAAGAGCGAGGAGTTTACGTTCAAGCTTCGACGTTGGGCTCACTCGAAGCTCTGTTGGAATTTCTAAAAACGTCGAAAATACCCGTGAGTTGATTTTTCCAAAAATAAAGTAGAAAAAGAGAGAGAGAGATGGTTCGGTAGTAGTAGGACATTGGTATCCGCGAGTAGTGATTCACAGAGGAAGAATTAATTGAAAGAATCATTTGACCAGTCCGACGCTGAGGGATAAAGCAGAGGCTGTTGTTGTTGTTGTGTGTGTGCGTGCGTGAGTGCGTGCATCGCATCGACCAGGGGGGGAATTATAAACAAGCTGTATCCTGTATTAATTAATGCGAAAAGGAAGTCATTCATTCAGAATCTCTCCTATGGCCGTGTACCATTTTTTTTTTTTTTTTTTTTTTATTTATTTATTTTTATTTTCGTTTTTTTTTTTTTTTGTTGCTTCCAAGTAATCTTATTACTTGCGTAATCGCCCGGGACGACACCAGCGTAATAATAATAATAATAATAATGCCACGTCGTGGTTTTTCATTCTTAGAAAGAGAGCAAAAAACAAAATTTTTTTTTTTTTTTTTTTTTTTTTTTTTTTTTTTGTTGGCCAAGGTTATGCCATTATTATTATTATTATTATTATTATTATTATTATTATTATTATTATTATTATTATTATTATTATTATTATTATTATTATTAATTAAAACTCTTTAAGACCTTGGAAATTTCTCAGGTTCGTTTTAATTTTCGAAGATGGTGCAGAGAACCGTTTGTTTGTTTGTTTGTTTCCTATTTGAAAATCTCAATCTCGTGTAATTTTTTTTTTTTTTTTTTTTGTTTTGCTAAGCTTTATTTTGCCACCGCGAGAAGAAATTATATACACGTCGTCAGTCAGTCAGGGGAAAATTTAATTTTTTCGAATCGGCATTTTTTTTTTTTTTAGTTGACATATGGCAATTTAAAATTGAAAGTGTTTTCTCTCTCTCTCTCTCTCTCTTCCTTCACATTAAATTAGAATTTTAAGAATTTTTTTATTTTCATTTGAAATCCCCCAAATCGTTCTCTCTCTCTCTCTTTCCGTCGAAATTGATTTACGTCGAAAAAAAAGAAAGGAAAGTTTAAATGACTAAATGATAAACGTGGGATTCCCCGAATATTGAATAATCCCTTTTAAAATAGTTTCCCCTTCCCCTACCGCCCCGGCAGGGAGGTGGTAGGGTAGTAGGTCGATAGGTGTGTGGGCAGGGGACGGGGAGGGGTTTTCCCCATATGTCAAATAACGTCGCGATTGTGTTGTCGACTTTCGATGGCTTTAATTGATTGTCTTTGACAACAACAAAAAATTCGGTTTATACATTCGTAACTCCACCCCCCTTCCTCCGCTCCGCCCTCCCGTGTTTTTTTTTTTGCAACCCTTAAAATTTTTTTTGAATCATGATTTTTCCGAGAATTTTCTTTTGCGATGACTGATCGTCACCTTTACCGAAAAAATTTGGAATTATTCGTAATTTTTGCATTGAAAATACCTATTATTATTATTATTATTATTATTATTATCCACCATTAAACACGACAAGGCTACTTGTCGGAGTTTTTTAAGTATTTATCCGAGGTTTCTACCCGATTCCTTAGGGACAAATACTCGAATTTCGGTGGTGCCACTTATTATAAGATAGCACCACATCAATTCTTGAAGGTCTTCCTGAGTCCGTCTTTTTCGATGGGAACGATTTGTCTCCTGAACTGGGCTCCGGTGACTAACATCTTTGGAGTGGCCAGGATCAGAAGCAGTGAAATTCACGTTCTCGTCGAGCTGCCTCAGGTCGACAGTAGAACAAGATTTGTTTTTTGGTTCTTACTTTGTCTTGTTCTCATTTTTTTTTTTTGCTCTTTTAAGCCAACAGCACGTGGCGTTCTCAAACGGTCACCCATCCAAGTTTGCACCACGCCCGATGCTGCTTAACTTCGGTGATCGTACGGGAACCGGTGTGACCAGCACGCTATGGCCGTTGGCTTTTATTATTATTATTATTATTATTATTATTAATAGCATGCCTGAATCGAACCTTTTTTGATCGTTGTGAGGTCACACGTTGTTTTGTTAATAATTTTTTTTTTTTTTTATTTTCAGTACTCGGGCATTAAAATCGGTCCCGTTGTAAAGAAGGATGTAATGAAAGCGTCAATTATGTTAGAACACGAAAGCCAGTGAGTTGAATTATTATTATCATTATTATTATCATTATTATTATCATCATCATCATCATCATCGTTTGTTTGTTTGTGTCGTTTGTTGCTGTGTTTGTTTTTTTTTTTTTTTGAACGAGTCAATTAATGAATATTTTTTGGGATTTTAATTTTCATTTCGTGATTTGTGTTTTTTTTTTTTTTTTTTTTTTTTTTCAGGTACGCGACAATATTGGCTTTCGATGTGAAAATCGAGAGAGACGCTCAAGAACTCGCGGATTCACTAGGAGTTAAAATATTTCAAGCCGATATAATTTACCATTTGTTCGACAAGTTCATGGCGTACAGGGAAGAGCTCAAGCAGAAAAAACGTGACGAATTTAAAAGCATTGCCGTTTTCCCCTGCAAATTAAGGGTAAGACATTATTTGGAATATTCTAAGAGAGAGAGAGAGAGAGAGAGTGAGTGAGTGTGTGTGTGAGAGTGAGAGAGAAAGGAAAAAATCTGACCTGCCGTGACCTGTGGTGATGCTGTTTTTGGTCCTGGTGTCGGTGGTGTGCATCGTTTTCCAAACGATGAGAAATGAGATGAAGTTATTGTTGTTATGTTCTTCCCATGAAAAGTAATAATAATAATAATAATAATAATAATAATAATAATAATAATAATAATAATAATAATAATGAATAAAATCCATATGGATTTCGGATTAGTCGAATTGGTAATTAGTCGTCTGCTCTTGTCTTTTTCTTTTCAATTCTCTTCGTTAAGCCTTCCGGTTTATTTTTCAAATTATTCTGTGGCTGCTGATGCTCCCGATGCTGTTGTTGCGACCGTTCGAATCGATTCGACATCCTTTTATTTTATTTCGTTTGTTTTCGTTTGTTTGTTTGTTTGTTTCGTTTTGTTGTCTCTTTTTTTTTTTTTTCACTTTCCTTTGGGGGGTAGGGGGTAAGGGAAAATTTACATACCGCGTCTCAGTTACCCGGTTGTACTTGTTTCATTGCAAAAGAAAAAAAATCGAAATCGAATTATTATTATTATTATTATCATTACTATTTTTTTACCGTTCGTAAATTTATTTATTTATTTTTTATTGCTTGAATAAATAGAGTGTTTGTGTGTGTGTGTGTGTGTGAGAGAGAGAGAGAGAGAGAGAGAAAAAATTTTTTTTTTTTTTTTTTTTTTTAAATTGTGCTTTCCCAAGTTTATTTTTGTTTGTTTTTCCACTTATCTCTTTTATCAGTATTAAAGCTTTAGTTATTAATGTTAACAACAGTAGCGTAGCAAGCAATAAAGAAGAAAAAACTATATGTATATATATGAATACGTGGATGCCAGTTGGAAATATCAAAAGTAATTACGATGATGATGATGATGATGATGATGGTGCTGGTGATGACGATGACATAAATAATGATAATAATAATATTTTTTTTTTCACGTTAAATAGCTGAGATGGTCGATTATTAACTATTATAGGAAACAAACAACGCGCGTGCTTGCAAGTTATAAATGAAATGAAAAAAAAAAAAAAAAGAAATTCATTGTTAAGATGATTCCTAATTCTTGAAAATTTATTATTATTATCATTATCATTATTATTATTATTAGCTTTTTTTTTACTGAATAATCAATATTTGAATTTTCATTTTAGACATTTCGACACCTTTTTTTTTTATTATTATTATTAATTTATAAACAAAATACGGGAAAAAAAAAAAAACATCACGGTCGGGATTTCTCTCTCTCTCCCTCCCTCTCTCTCTCTCTCTCTCTCTCTCTCTTTCTCTCTCTCTCTCCCTCCCTCTCTCTCTCTTCTCGTTTTCCTTACTTGATTTAATTTTTTTTTGCTTAACAAGGTATTTAAAATTATTTATTGAATGAGTAGTGTGGTTCGATGAAAGGTGAGGGAAATGATATATATTTCTCCGGGAAAGAGAGAGAGAGAGAGAGACGAGCACACACACACACACGCACACACTCTGAAAAAGACTAATTAAAACAGGAAAAAGAAAAACCGTAATTAAGCCACCACCTCCCCTCCCCTCCCCATTCGATTATAATTTTTTTTTTAATTGATAAAAATTAATCACCCTTTTATTAACGACGAAACATTAGTTTCTTGACGGGGGAAGGGACGGAGACGGGGGCGGGGTGTAAAATACGGGAAGGAATATGGGTCGTGACGATGGCACAACTGACAAAATATTATTATTATTATTATTATTATTATTAATTTTGTTTGTTTGTTTGTTACAGATTTTGCCGCAGTTCGTGTTCAATACAAGAGATCCCATCGTTGTCGGTGTCATGGTCGAAGCTGGAATCGTAAAAGAAGGAACCGTTTTGTGCGTTCCCAGCAAAGAAGTGAGTTTAATCGTTACCATTATTATTATTATTATTATTATCATTATTATCGTTTCGGGAAAAGAGGGAAAAAATCCGTCGGTCGAGTCGTAAAAAAAAAAGAAGAAATCGATAAAACGAAATGCGAAAGAAAGATTCTCGACTCCGACTTCCTTCATCTTTTGCCTTTTTTTTTCTTTCGTCTTCTTCTTTATCCTTTCTCACTGTGTGTTGTGTGGGCAATCTCTCTCTCTCTCTCTCTCTCTCTCTCTCTCTCTCTCTCTCTCTCTCTCTCTCTTTCTCTCTCTCTCACGATTTAATCTTCCAGAAGAACAATCCGAAGCCTTATTTATTGTCGCATACGTTGGCCTATTTGTAAATATATGCATGCCGATTGAGTTTTCACAAAGAGAGAGAGAGAGAGAGAGAGATTCATCTTTATGTTCTCTGTCTTTTTTTCTCTCGTTGTTATTTCGAACGGAGGGTTCGTCAGAAAATTGCCAGGACCATAAAAAGTTTTCATTTCTCTTCCATTCTTTCGATACCCTATCGAATCGTGACGTCATATACGCACGAGGATTCGTATTGGGTAAAATGTTGTTGTGACGTCACGTCACGTTTCGTCGTTTGCGAAAGGTTCGAATGTGCGTGCGTGCGTGCGTGCGTGCGTGGTGTACGAATGAAAAAAAAAAAAAAAAAAAAGTTTTTTATTAGTTTCGCGGAAAAAATTCAAAAAAAAAAAAATAGTAATAATAATAATAATAATAATAATAATAATAATGCTAAACCGCGGGCTTTAAATTACCTAATCACTTCTTAGAAATTTTAAAGGAAAAACAAAAACAAAAACAAAAAAAATAATGAAAATAATAATAATAATAATAATAATAATAATGAAAATAAATTTACATAGATATTCATCTGAATCGAACAAGGCAGAAAAAAAATTTTCTACAATAGAAAATTCTCAGGTGTGTGTGTGCGTGCGTGTGTGAGAAACACGCAAGGTCACGCGCGTACGTCGTTATTATTATTATTATTATTATTATTGCCGAACATCGCGCCGCGGTAAACGTGAAATGATAAAAACGGTACCGTCCGAAAAAGCAAAAGAGAATATAAAAATGCCATAAGAGGGAGGAAGGTGCGTGTGTGCGTGCGTGCGTGCGTGCGTGTACGCAACCGAAGGAAACGTCGCGAACGCGTTCGTTTTAAACTGAAAATGGATTCCGCGCGTTCGTAACTTTTTGATTCGACCCTCACACAGTCAACAAAAGATGACGAACGAATTGTCAATGTCGTGAAGTAAATAATTTGGGTTCTTGTCACGCACTCACGCACACGCACACGCATGTATGTGTACGTATGCGTACGTGTGCGTACACGTACGAATATGCATTTGTTAAAATGTTAGTCGTAACCCCGATGGATGGAAATCCGTTCTATCTTCTCCATCAGAGTAAAACGCGCTCCTTTCGTTGTGTCCCCCCCCCCTGCCCAATCATGCCGCCATTTTTTTTTTTTTTTTTCTATAGTTGCAATCGTTTCTTTACTCCCGAATCAATTAAAAAAAAAAAAAAAAAAAAAAAAAAAAATTTTCCTCGATTTCGACCTTCTAGAATAATTAATTCTATGGTATGGAAAAAAATATTTTGTGCGAACGAATAAATGAATGAATGAATGAATGAATGAATTAACTAAACGAAAGAAAATCAATTTTGAAAATTTATTATTATTATTATTATTATTATTATTACTGTTAAAGTAAACATTTGGAGTTTGCCAAAAAGGAAACAAAAATGGAGGGAATGCGTTTGTGCGTGCGTGCGTGTGCGTGTGTGTGTGTGTGCGTGCATCACGGAAACGTCTTTTTTTTTTTTTTTCATCTTCTTTTTCTTCTCTTGCCCATCATTAATGAATCGACGCGAACGTGGGAGGAGTTTGGAATCGATTTTTTTTTTTTTTGATCGATTGATAAAAAATTAATTGAAACGTGTCGGAGACGTGGAAAAAGAAAATCAATCAATAAAAAAAAAAAAAAAAACAAAAAATATTTTGAATTAAAATTGCGGAAATGAAATGAAAAAAGGGTAAAGGTACTTTTTTTTTTCGAAGTGGAAGAAGAAACGATTTTAAAAAAAAAAAAATTTACCTGAGAAAAAAAAAATTTTTTTTTTTTTTTTAAGTGGTAGTAAATGACTGAATGACGGGACTGATTGAATGACTGGGTGGCTCGTATGGCATGGCGTGGCATGCCATGCCATGCCATGCATGTGCACTCGAAAGGCCTGTCAAGGTCGTCAAGGTCGCCCATTATTGAAAGTTCATCATTTTAATTTTTGTGGGAATGGAAGGAAAAGAAAAAAAATTTTTTTTTTTTTTTTTATTTCATTGATTTTTATTGTTTACGAACGTTGTTGTTGTTGTTGTTGTTTCGACGTGTCGACCCGACAAACAAACTCGTTTCGATATATTTTTTTTTCGAAATTTTCGATATGTTTCCCCGTAACCCCATTATAAACCGAATTGATAAGTGCAAGGTGTACGTGCGTGTGTGAGTGCGTGCGTGCACGTGCGAATGAAATCCATCATGTCGTCGATTGATTGAAACTTTTGGAATCGATTACAAAAAAAAAAAAATTTTTGTCTCGAAGAAAATGTCAAACGTACCCGATTGGTTTGAATTTCGACCAACGCAAGTTTTTTAAATGGAACCATACGAGAAAAAGAGAGAGAGAGAAAAAATACTCGTAACCCGCACACTCACTTTGTACTCGTACTCTTTTAACACGTCGAAAAACGCTCACGCACGCACACACGCACACGCACGCACAAATGCACGAGGCTCGAAAGAAAGAAGAACACTCCTTTAAGTAAATACCAAAGTATTCTTCTTCTATCATCTTCAGGTTTCAAGTCAATTCAAATCGTTTTTTTTTTTCTTTTTAATTTATTAATATTATTATTATTATTATTATTATTATTAATCATTATCATTATTATTTTCATTTTTTCCCGTTTTCCCGTACGCGCGTCCATTTCCGAGTTTGGTGAAAATAAGAAAACAAATTTTGGGTGATAAATAACGAAGAAAATTTTTATCGAGTGGGTCTTAAAGAGACAGAGAGAGAGAGAGAGAGAGAGAGAGACGCGTGGGGCATGTGGTGTTTGTGTGTGTGTGTGTGGCACTCCTGCATCTTCGGCCTACGTTCAGGTTTTCGGTGATTCCGCTGTCCTACATATAAATAATAAAATACACCTTACCCAAGAAGCGCACCCACTTGGTATTTCACCTCGCGCACACACACACACACACGCGCGCGCGCGCGTTTCGTATCGATAACTTTTGCCGCGGTTCTCGGACGCCATTTTGAAAAAAAAAAAACGGTCTCGCGGTGCTATTCGATTTCGGAATGAAAACAAATAAAAAAGGAAAAAAAAAAAAAAAATTTCCAATCGTCATAAAGGGTAAATTTTTTTTTTTTTTTTTTTTTTTTTTCAAAATGGTTAAATGAATGAAAAGAAAAATTATTATTATTATCATCATCATTATTATCAATATTATTGTTATTAAATGGCCTGGAGTTTTATTATCATTTTTTTTTTTTTTTTTTTTTTTTTTGTTGTTGTAACTTTGAAACGTCCGAAAGATGAAATGAAATTTTAAATTTTTTTTGTTTTTTTACGATCTCGTTTTCTTTATCGTCGTCGTCGTCGTCGTCGTCGTCGATCATTATTATTATTATTATTGTTTTTGTTTTCAGTTCATAAACGTTGGAATCGTAACGAGCGTTGAAGTTAATCACAAACCCATAGAATCCGCCAGAAAAGGAATGGAAGTATGCATAAAAATAGAAAACATGTCTGGGGAAACGCCGAAGTTGTACGGGAGACATTTTGATCATACAGATTTGCTCATGAGCAAGGTGAGTTGAAAATCATGTCGATACCAACTTTTCGAAAAACCCTCAAATTCATTGCCAAATTTGTGCCAGAATAGAAAGCGACGTTGCCGTCGTTTCCATCATTGGAATGGCGACGAAAATCCCCCCTTCCCCCCCCCTTTTGCTCCGCTTACCCTTTTTCTTTTTGCGTTTTTTTTTTTTTTTAAAAAGGAATCCGAGTTCCGGATGTGATTATTTTGGTATTTCCGGTCGGTATTTCCGGTGGGGGAAAAAGGTTTCAACATTTCTTTATCGAGTTGTGCGATTTGTGTATTTCGGTCTCGTAATCATTCATCAATTTCTTAATTCGTCCGAATTTTCCTTACGTGCTCCCTTCGATAATTCTTTCTTTTTCCCTGCTGCGGAAGTAATAATGTAAAATGAACGGGAAAATGCTGAAAGGAAGAAAGAGAAAGTTTTCATTCACTTCTGCTTTTCCATTCACCAAACGGGTAGGGGGAGGCGAGAAGGGGAGGGGTTTTTTTTTCATTCTATCAAAAAACGAGGTCATAAAACACATTCAATAAAATTATTTTAATGGAAAGAGAAGAGAAAAAAATGACGAACGGGAAACGAGATCTTGGGGGACGCGGGGGAAAATGAGGGGGAGGAAGAATTTTACAAAACTGGGTCGAATCCCGGGTATTTATTGAGAAAATTTGCTACTCGACGTTCGGGAGTCGACGTGGAAATAGACGTTCGCGAGTCGTAAGTTAAACGTTGGAATCCGAGTTCAATTCCAGTCATTGTCATCCCCACCAACTAAGGGTTGAATCCCTCCACCGTCGTCTAAATGGTGAATGACCCTGACACGTGCAAGGAGGGTGCAAAGCAGTACTGACGTCATTCCGTTTTCAAACCGACACGTGTATGACCAAATTTTTCGCTTTTCCCTTCTCTCTCTCTCTCTTTCTCTTCCTCTTTTTCTTTCCCATTCAGTTTTTCATGTTTTTTTTTTTTTTTTGCTTTTTTTCGATTTGTTTATTAAATTTTTTTTTCAAAATGATGGGAAAACAGGGATTTTCCCGGGGGATACTTAAACGATCCTTTTGGAAAAATTTAGGTCATCGTCACCATCGTCGTCATCACTCGTAATTAGTAATCGTCAATTTTGAAATTTTAATTTTTCAGAAGGAAAAAAAAAGCGGGATAGTCACGAAAATCCCGAAATATTTTCGATTTTATCCCGGATTATTTTAAATTAATCAGAGGTCACGTGGTAAACGTGGGGGGTTTTTTTTCGTCTTAAAAAAAATGTTTTTGCGCCATTGAATTTTTCTACCTGAATCTCATATCTCTTTCAACGCGAATCCTTTCATTGAGAATAGTGTTGTAATTAATGGGTAGGGAGAACGAATGGGAAGAAGGGAATGGGGGGAGTGGGGGGGGGCATTTTAGTAGGATGAAAGAAAAAAAAACGGTTGACGGACTTCCGGTTGAATTTGCAAATCCCCCCGTTACGAGACTTCTTTGTCGATTTTTATTTTTTATTTTTTTTTCTTTTCTTTGAAAAATTTCTATTCGGAAAATTTGAATGAATGAATTTTCCATTTATTATTATCAACACGCGACGAGGATATTGTTATCTCTCTCCCTCTCTCTCTCACTCTCTTCTAAAGGGAAAAGGCTAATAATAATAATAATAATAATAATAACATGAGGGAATTTTTCATCAAGTTTTTCTTTTTTTTTTATGTGCGTGTGTAGTATATACATTCATTGAGAAAAATATTCGACAATTTTCTTTTCATCCCTCTGTCGCACTTTTGAAGAGTTTATTTTTTTCCAAATAGAAAAAAGATTTTCCGATTGAGGGATGATAAGATAAACAAAAAGGGAGAAAATGGAAAATTGAAAAGAAAAATTTCGAGGCACATTTTTTACATTTCATCCGATGTTGGTTCATACATGACGATGAACCAAAAGAGGGGTTGTTCTTTTCTAGCACCGGAAAATTTCGATCGATTTTCCAAAGAGGAGAATTTCTAGAATTTTCATTGGTTTTTTTCACATTCGGAGGAGAGGAAAAAGTTACGTGTTACCCCTTTTCACTTATGAAAGAAAACCTTTCTTTTTTTTCTCTTCTTTCATAAAAACGCTATCGGTTTGGCTTTTCCATTGAGAAAACTCGCGTCAACAGGATGAGATCGTTTACGAGTTTTCGCGTGAAAATTTAAACCTGGAAAGAAGTGGGGAAAAAAAATCTTTATCATTATCATTATTATATAGGTTTTTTTTTTTTTCTCGAAATTTTAATATCGATGCGAGATATCGAATCGATTCGCTGTTAGTTTGTTCGAGATCGATTAAAAAAAAAAAGGAAAAAAATTTTCCGGATGAATTGCGTTGAAATCTTCTCACCTTTCGCGTGATTTGTCGTCCGAAAAAAAAAAAAAAAAATAATAATAATAATAATAATAATCGTAAAGTAATTTTCATTCATAAAAAAGGTTTTGTAGTCGTGGCGGTAGCGTTGGTGGTGGTGGTGGTGGAAGTGGCGGTAGAGTTGGTGATTTCCTGTGCTTTTTTTTGTTATAACCACTTTTCGGTTCTTCGAGCAATCAATTCAAGTGTAAAAAAAAACACGAACGCCGCGTAAGTATTCAAACCGACCGAAACCGTTTTTTCAATTTTTACCCGCACGACCGCACCCCTTCCCCCCGCGTAAAAATGTCGTCATCAACATCGTCTAACATTTTCGTTGTTTTTCTTTTTATTTTCAGATATCGAGGCAATCCATCGACGCCTGTAAGGATTATTTTAGGGACGATCTTACGAAACAAGATTGGCAATTAATGGTCGAATTAAAAAAATTATTTCAAATTTTATAGCAAAGCAATCAGGTACGAACCGGACGTAATAGATAATTTATTTTTTTTTGAATGCGATTATTATTATTATTATTATTATTATTATTATAATAACGATGATGATGGTGGGGGTGATGGCAATGGTGACGACGGTGACGGTGGTGTCGGTGGTGGCGTCGACGATAATGATAATAACAATCGTCGAAAACATTTATATTTATAATTATTACTATCATTGTTGTTATTCGTCGTCACCGACGTCATCACTGACGTCACCGTCGTCGTCACCGTCGTCGTCACCGTCGTCGTTACTGTCGTCGTCTTCACCATCACCACGACGATTGCGAGTGATAAAAAGAATGAATTAAAAAAAAATATATATATAAAAAAAAAAAAAAAAAAAAATGCGAGCGTTTGTGCGTATGTATGTGCGTGCGCAAAAAAAAAAAAAAAAAGGAAAAAAAAGAAAAATTGAAATGATTTTTTTTTTTTTGAGGGGGTCTCACGTGCGCGTGCGCGTACATATATGCGCATCGTTCGCGTGAAAAAATTATTATTATTATTATTTATTTTTTATTTATTTATTTATTTATACTTTCTTTCTTTCTTTCTTTCTTTCTTTCCTGATCGATATTTTTACTTACTTATTTAAATTCCTTCAAATTATTATTATTATTATTATTATTATTATTATTATTATTATTATTATTATTATTATTATTATTATTATTATTATCATCACAAAAATAATGAAAACGGATTTTCTTCCTTTTGTTTACAATGACCGATGGTGATCACGTGAATTTTATTAAAATTTCCTTTTAGGTTATCAATCCGAAAGAGAGAAAAAGAGAAAAAGAAAAATAGAAAGAGATAGAGAGAGAGAGAGAATTTTCTTAACTTTTTGTTAACAATTTCCGGTTATTCGAGATGTGTTACAGGTTAGTGCGCTAATAATCCCTTATTTAATAATAATAATAATATTTTGCATGAGGGTAAACGAAACGAAATGATAATAATGATAAGAACGTTCGATGGTAGCAATAGTAGTAGTAGTGGTAATGATAATGATGATGATAATGATGATGAAAAATCATTCATTCGAAGATGGTCGTCGTCGTCGTCGTCGTCGTTTAATTTTTAAAAACGTTTCCTCCCATTCAATATTTTTTTTTTTTTTTTTTTTTACGTCCCACAATGTCGAATCGAACGACGTCAAATAAGGAGGGGGGGAGGGAGGGATCCTCTATTTGTGGTCATCGGATTAAGAAGATGACCTACGATAAAATGTGGAATGAATGATTGAATGAATGAAGGGATTGAATGTGCGTGAGTTTGAGAGCGTGAATGAATTAATCAAAGAGTGCGTGTGCGTGTGCATGTGTGTGCGTATAAATTCTTTTCCGAATACTCGTTTCTCTTTTTCTCTTTCCTTTCTTTTAAATCACCTTACATCCCACCTTCATCCTTTTTTTTACGTACGTATTTTATTTACTACTACCGTCGCCGCCATTCATTCCACATGCATACCACCTCTTCCTCTTCTTCCTCACATCCACGTTGTCGTTGTCGTCCTCCTCCTCCTCCTCCTTTTCCTCTTCCTTCGTCCTCCTCCTTCTTTTTTTTCTCTTTCATTTCTTTGACCTCTTCTCACGCATTATCACATCTTTTTTCTCTCTTTGTGCTCTTAATTGTAGAATTATAAATGATTGAAAGTATTGTCGATGAGTCGGTTTCTTCTCGGTTAATTAAGTTGTCGATGATCGAAGGAGGTGGGGAGACTTTTTCCTTTTCCTTTTTCTGTCGTTGTGGGATCCATCATCGGACGGGGTAGTAATCGTTCAGTCTCGATACCAACGCGAAACAATAATACCAAACTTATTATTATTATTATTATTTTCATTCATTCATTCATTGACTATTACGAAGTTATCTCCTTAAAGACACCTGACTGACGAAATTCAATCATGCGTTTAAAGAAACGAGAGGTGGTAAATCGCCATTTTGTTCCCTAATTTTACGGAAAAAAAATTTTAAAGAGGGGAGGGGTAAATGGGGGGCGTGGGGGAGTGGAGGGGGAGGGGAGGTAGGCAACGACTCCGTAAATATATCCGATTTAATTTTAAGAAGGCAAAAAGTAGAAAAAAAAAAAAAAATTATTTAGGAAAATTTATGGGTAAATATAATTTACAACTGGTTATGCCGGCCCACAACGAAAACTTTATTTTTTATTCTCATTGTCACACCCACGATTCCCATTAAAAATTCTTCTCCTGCCATCAATTAAAATTTTCTATAAATATCTCATTAGCTAAAATGTGGCAGCAACAAACGATTTAAAATAAGAAGAAAAAAAAAAAATTTCATTCAACTACAACCGGATCGCGTTGTTGTTGTTGTTGTTGTTGTTGTGGCATAATTGGCATTACATACAATCGACTTAAAAACGGTCGTTTGTATAAAATTGTTGTAATGACTTATTCTCGAACTTGATCGACGATTTGAAAAAAATTTTTCTCTTTTAATCTCAAACTCGTTTGTTTTTTCAAATTATTATTATTATTATTTATACCGTCGTTAGAAAAAAAGGCAAACGGATTCGTCTTAGGCTTCCCCCTCCCCCTAAACGACAACAACAACAACAAAAAAACGTGGCGCTAAAATGGCGACATGTAAATGACAAAACATTATTATTATTATTATGTACGATGACCCTATGACCTCCTGACCTTTTCTTGAATTTTCACGTATTTACATTTAAATCGTCAGAAAAAAATGGAGAGCGGGTAATAACGGTCGGGGTGACAAGATCGTAACGCTGTCGTCGATATGAACAAACAAACAAACAAGCAAACAAACGTTTTTTACTACGCGTCGATATTTTGTTGTTGTTGTTGTTGTTGCGTTACGAAATTCGAAAAAGGATTTCGAATGTAATTCAAACGCGTTTCCGGCGTATTACAAAATGATAATAATAATAATAATAGGATTTTCAAGACATCCGATTTCCACATAAGCCGACAATACAATTGGCGGATTCAATACAATCACGCGCTCTCAATTTTGGTTTCATTGTTGTTGTTTGTATTACTAGAATGAATTGTTGAACGGCGCCGAAAAGGAAGTTTTATATATTTATATATGGGTTGAATCATTGCAGAAGAGAGAGAGAGATAGATAGATAGAAACCGGAAATGTTATGTTGCTTTATCCGCAGGAAACCCCTTATGTAGAGCGTCGTCGTCGTCCTCGTCGTCGTCATCGTCGTAAACTATAAGAAGAAGAAACACACGAATATTAACAAATTGAATTTATTATTATTATTATTTTACATACGTCATTTCCGTTGTTTCGATATATCGATAAAATAATTTTTTTTTTTTTAAGGTGATGATTGTAGTTTTAAATAAGGGCCAGGAAATGATTTTGGGCGGGGAATTTGGTACTTCCTATGCGGGTTTCCATGGTAGGTACCTTTTTTCCTTTGTCTTCGAACATCTTGCGTTTGTTTAGAAAAAAAGGAAAAAGGTTGTCGGTTGTTGTTTTGTGACCTTAAATTAAAAGTTGATTTGGTTGTTGTTATCATTTATATATGTTCATTTCGGTTAAGAAAGAAAGAGGATAAAAAGGTGTCGTAATTAATTTTTGTCATTTCCTATTGCGAAGAAGGAAAAAGGAAAAGGAAAAGGAAAAAAGATTTTAATGAATGAATGAATGAATGAATGAATGAAAGATTTGACCCGGAAATATTATAAGCTTGTTGTTGTTGTTGTTGCTGTCGCCGTCGCCGTCGCCATTTTCAATCGAAGTAAACATAGTAAATTAATTAATTTTTTTCTGTTTGTTCGATCGATCGATTGCTTGTATTCGAATTAAACGGCGGAAGGTGATTTAACGTGGTAGAAGATAGAAAGAGAGAGAGAGAGAAGGCGTGAAAAATTGTTTGTATGAAGAAGAAGAAGGTATAAAGAAAAAATACGGGGGCCGTTCAGGTTTTGACTTCCAAGGTAGAAGACCTCTCAATACTATCGACGGACGGACGAACGAACGATTTCATTGTTTTTCTATTAATAAAAAAAACCTGAGAAATATCAATAAACGTGACAGCAGGAAAGTGAAATGATCCCGGGTGAGGAGGGGAGAAAGGGGAGTAGGAAGGGGGTCGCGTAGGCGGGGATTTGAATGAATATGAAACCAGATCTTGATTAGTTTTTGCCTTTTTCTTCTCTCTCTCTTTCTCTCTTTCTTTCTTTCTTTTATAGTCGACCAACCTTCTTCATCATCATCATTATCATTAATATTCATCCGGATTTTTTAACTAAATTTGGAACGACCGGATGTGACGTAGGCGGCGGTGACGTCGGGGGAGGGGAGGAATATATACCATTGACCGTATTTTGATGGTACGCGGGTAATTAATTAATTTGGGTTATGATAAAAGTTGGTAGTTTTCGAACGGGTGTCACGCACCATCGTCACCGCCATCGCTTAGAAAAAGGTGTCACGATGATTGTTTCGCCATGTTTGTTTTTGTTTTTGCGTGGGTTTTTGTTCTTTTTGTTGTTCTGTTGCGGTGATCCGGATAAATGAAAAAAAAATAATAATAATTGACTCGTTTTATCCAAAAATTGTTAGAATTTGTAAATGTTCGGGAGAGAGAGAGAGAGAGAGAGGGGAAAAAACGGTAAATTATTTTCTCTCCATAGAAAGAGAGAGAGAGAGAGAGAGAGATTAGGTTACGAACAATTATTATCATTATTATTTCGTTTACGCCTTACAAAAAAAATTAAATAGAAAAGTACGAATGAGTTCTCTCTCTCTCTCTCTCTCCTGTTGGATGTTGTTTTAATGGACCAAACTGTATCATTATTATCATTATCATTATTATTATTATCATTATTATCATTATTATTATTATTATTATTATTATTATTATTAATTTCTTAAGTAAAAAAGTCGTTAAATCTTTCGGTAACGAAAAAAAAAAATGCTTAGGTTAATAAAAGAAAGAAGATATTATT